CTCGCCTCCCGGAGCCCCTAGGTGTCCGCCCCGGCTGCCTGCAGCTCCCGGCCCAGCGCTGCCCGTTGGGAAGCGAAGATGCCTGGGTCGGGCTGAACGGGCGCCGCCGGCTGGTCTGCCCGTGCGAGGTCGAGTCCGAGGAGCGGGCTTGGACCCAGGAGCCGCGGCGCCGGAGTCCGCGCACCGTGCACCGCGCATCGCGCACCGCGCATGGACGCGCCGGGGGACTGCGAGGGCCCACGCCTCCCCGGAGGTGACCAATAGCGGCACGGACGGACACCTCTCGGTGGCATGGGTCCTGTCCCCTTTACCCACGATTGAATTAGCTTTAGCTTGGTTTGTTTCGGAGAGATTCGAAAAGCCTGGGGCCTGAGGGTGGGGTTCGGGTTAGAGCTTCTCTCTCTCTGCAAGGGGTTAAAGTTCAGGGCCCAGGAGAGAGAGTTCTCTCAAGACTTTGCTCTACGTGTAGCGCTGCTTTTATAAATTACCATGTGATTGGAAATGCATTCAAATTAGTATGCCATTAGACAAAGGTAAAACATTCCATTGTTGTTCCTCCCCTTTTAACTTTCACTTCCCTTCCTCATCTACTCCAGAAGTTTTACAAAGATTCTTGAGACTTCCTCATCTTGCACAGATTTCCTTTCTTTCCTTCTTTCTTTTTTTTTTCCTGGACCGCAATGACAACCTCTGAAAAGTAGAGCAAACCAAGTATAGTCTTCTAACTTAAATTTCTTTTTTTCCCAAACCATTGACCTTAAAAATGACTGATAGATTCGCTGAATATTTGAAACTGAGTTATTGACCTGTTGTCTTTAAGTTAAATGAAGATTTAGCCTTGGGAATCAGTATGAAAATGATCGGTGCAAAAGGCCAGTTATTAGTGTAAAATGTGTATTGATTTACCGATTTATGGGACCTGTCTCTCCAGGAGCATTACCATTGTAAGATGTCATTTGCCAATTGAATATTCTAGCTTGTTTTCTCCCACTTACACTTCACTTGACTTCTACACTACTCCAGAATGCTTAACCAACAGCTAAGGTGACATGTTTAGAACACTGTTAAGTCCATGGAACGTATGAGGCTGGTAACTTCATTATAGTTACCTTATACTTCAGAGAGTAGCACCCTTTGGAGATCACCTGGTTGCCTCATCCTTCTTGAAGGAATTTACCAAAGGTGGAAGAAATAGTGAAGGCAAAACAGGTTTCAGATGGTTTGATAAATTCTGCCCTGAAAATGAGGTGTTTTCAAAATGACAGTGTTGTACCAGATTTTGTGTGACATTTTATCAAATGTGGTATATTCAAAAGAGCCCTTAGCTTAGCATATGTTATCTTCACATTGCACAGAAGTGACATGTGTCAACTTCAATCAGCAGTCCCAATTACATGCCTGTGACTGTAGCATGTTTGCATTTAAGGTGATGGCCCTCCAGGAGGTACAAGAGAGACATCCAGACAGCTTTCAAGAGAACAGCTTTTTGTGCTGATATCGGCAGCTTCCATTAACTTGGGTTCTATGATGTGCTATTCTATCCTTGGACCCTTTTTCCCCAAGGAGGTGAGACATTTTAATATTGTTATGAACTCTAATTTAAAAAAAAAAAAGCCCTTTGCATTATTTCATTTTACAGTATGTGAAATGTGAAACTCTGCATTTAGTAAAGATGATGCATAGAACTTCAGTAAACAGAAAGACTTCTGACAGAATATTTGACGCCAGATATAAAAACAATCCAGTCAGAAAGAATATCCTCTCGGGAAATAACTCACCTAAATATAACTGACCTTCTGAGGATTGCTTTGCTTACCATGTAGTTTTATAAATCTTTGTTTGGTTTCAGCAACTGAAACAAAGGGGGTGCTTTGAGTAACTGAGATTTGAGTGTTACTGCAAAAGGTCTGTGCTGAGACAGGAAGTCTGTCTCCTGGAGTTTTTCGCTTATTGATATTTTTGGAATTAGGAAGACATGATCCACTAAATTCCCTTTTTCTGACTTGAATTTCTGATGGTATCTAATGGCAATGGTTTGTCCCAAGGAAGAATTCTGGTTAATACTGATTAGCTCTTTGTAATCATTGCCTTTTATGTGGTGTTAGGGTTTATAGTTCATGGCACAGACTCACGGGGGGTTAACCCCTAGAGAATCCACCTGGAATCTGGAGGTGAGTGGGACATAGCATGAAACTATGGCTTGCAAATGGCTTGGTTGCATGGAGATGATATACCCATGTGTTATTTTCTATTGTTTAGAATGTTTGTTTATTTATTTAGAGAGAGCGAGCAGGGGAGAGGCAGAGAGAAAGGGAGAGAGAATCCTGAGCAGGCTCCATGCTCAGCACAGAGCTCAACAAGTGGCTTGATCCCCCGATTGTGAGATCATGACCTGAGCCGAAATCAAGAGTCAGACACTTAACCGACCGAACCACCCAGGTGCCCCATCCACCATTCTGCGTGTTACCAAGGAGAATGGATATGGTTTCTCTGCCAAAGGAACAATGTGACTCTGTACCCATACAGTGCTTTTTAGTTTTCAGTGTGATTTCCCACGCATTTATCCCATTTGGTCTTTGCAGCTACTCCCTAAGGCAGCGTAGTGAGAACGCCATCTGTCATGTTGCCAATGAAGACAAGACTCAGAAGTTCAGCCACTGGCTCAGTTCGGTTCTATTTACTGAGTGGGAGCGGGAGGGGTAACCGTCTCCCACTCTAGAGTGTGCAGGCACTGGATGCATTAGGACAGAAAAAAAATCGGGAAAATGTCCCTCTCTTGTCTACCAGTTGGGAGTGAGACAATATGAAAAAACATTGGTCTTCAGAAAGGTAGCTCTCAAGGTGAACCACAGAGGCAAGGGTGTTCTAGGAAAGAAATCACTTGAGATAGTCATGGGATTAGCACAGGAAATAGCATGTTCTCCGGGAAAGCAGACAACTTGATGTGGCTTGAGCCTGAGGTGGAGTGAGGTCCAAGAGGCAGCAGGTCTGGGGAGGAGACAGAGCTAGAATGCAGGGGTCCTTACGCGTATGCCGGAGACATTAGTCGGTGAGAAGTTATCAGAACAAGACAGACTAGCCTGATCAGTTTTGGGATTTGGAAAATATAATGATGGGTGGAGCCTGCAGAGTTAGGGCAGAGAGGAACTGGAGGAAGTAGAATGATGCCCAGTTAGCAGGGCATTTCCTGGCTGAAAACTGGGCAGCTGGCTCAACCTTCAGGGCACTAGAGCAACTAATGTTAGCTTCTGCTTAGTGGAATGCACACAAAGGAACACCAGACTACAGATGTGTGTCTTTTGATTTTGTTAATAATTTTTCCAATCCCTTTAAAAAAAAATTGACAAAATGTTGACGTACCATGTTAGTTTCACGTCTACAACATAGCAAATACACAATTCTGTGTATTATGCAGTGCTCACCACGGTAAGTGTCGTTACCATCTGTCAACATACAAAGTTATTACAGTATCTTTTAAGTTTAGTTATGTATTTTGAGAGAGAGAGAG